ATCTTAAAAAATACGGTTTATTATGACTCAAATATACAAAATAAAAGATTGCAAATATGAATTAAAATTTTATATGTTTAAGGTAATTATAAGAGTAAGTGAATATTAATAGTAAACTTTCTTTTATTTTCGTTTATAAAAAATAAATAAAAAATATTGTTTTTTAATGATGTTTCGTTAGAAAGATTGTGTGATTGTGTAATGTTTGGCTAGTAGGATAGTAGTCAGAAAGAGTGTTTGGCTAGTATGATAGTATGAGTGATTATTATAGGATTTTAATTATTAAAATAAACTAAAAAAAATTATGGTGTTGACACATCAGCAAAAATGGTCCATAATGCTTCTCCATATATAGAAGATTGGTTTTTTTTTTCACTTTATTTTATTGAAACTGATTTAAAACATATTACATCAACGAAAAATTCAATAAATGCGATACAAAGAGAAACTAATGGTCTTTTCCACACCAGAAATCAAATGAGGTCAATAATTGTTGACGACACATTAGCGATACCAAAATGATCTTGTTTTGAATTGAAGGTAGACGATTAATTGTTCCCGAATCCACAATAGCAGCCGGACTTCCAATATCTATTACGATAAAATGATAAGAGTTGTCTTAATTTAGATAAATCTCCTTCTTTGATTGCATTTGTCAATTTGTTCCGAGTTAGTTTCAGTGAAGCCGTCGTTGAACAACTTTAAACTGCAAAACTTAAACCAAATAGACAGCCAGAATTGACTGGAAACTCGCAAACTATAGATCTTCTATGAGGACAAAATCTCAACAAAAACTTCACTCATAAAAACTAAACCCAATACGGGAATCACAAGCTAAACCCAATAAAGGGGATCACAAATTAGACCTAAAAAAACACGCCGAATAACATCGCATCGTCTTCTAACCAAAAAATCTCATGGACATCCTTTACACTTCATGTCGAGCATATAAACTATATTAGGTTACAACCATCTCCCTCTCACGAAGCCGGTAAAAACATCGGATATCAGAGAGGGAGAAAACTCAAATCACTTTTTTCTCTCTTTTTCTTCTGACGGCTAGGGTTTTTTTATTTCTTCTGGTTCATTTTATTAATTGAGAAAGCAAAACCCAAAAACTAAATCTGAAGTAAACCGAGTTTAGTAAATTCAAACCAAATTTTATTTTAG